TAAGACTATCAAGGCCACCATAATAAGGCACATAAATTGCATTGGCATGAGTAGGATCAGATGTAAGACAAGGGTATTCAAGCATTCTACGATGAAAAACAAGCTCAAGCATAAAAGGATCAGTACGATACCAGCTGTGTGATTTGTTGTGAGTCTTTTGACCAAGGCCATGGTTTGCTAAATAAGGACAGAAATTATCAAACAGAGGATATGCAGAGCAATTTGATAAAAGGTCAAGATTGAATTGAGGTGGTAGATGTCTGATATGGATCCATTTGTTTGAGCAATCAGATTCAAGATCGGAATCTTGACAAGTGGCAGAGAAGGTAAAGAGGAAAAACACAAGAAAGAAGAAATGAGTAATGAAATTTATCGCCATTAAAAGGGGGTCTGTGAAGAAACTGTCGGTGGAGGGTGAAATGAGTCAATCAAATCCAAAAAAAATCCAATCTTTACCCAAAAACTTCAAGAATTGAACACTGAATCTTGAATTAAAACGAAAAAAGAGAAGATGGGTTGAGTTCACATTCTCAAGAAACACCAAATCTAAATCAATAACCAAAACCAACCTTCTGCAGAACACAAAAATCTGCAAAAATGGTGAAATAGGAAATGGGGTTTTTGGAAGAATGAAGAAAATGGTGGCAAATACCCAAATGGCAGTTTGTTTAAGGAGGATAGACTGAGTCAGAGAAAATGGTGGACAGGACTCTGAGTGGGATACCGTTCTTTTTTTTTTTGCCTTCCTCTTTAACACTGCTGCGATAGAGTTGGAACAATCTGAACAGAAATAAATGGAATTTATCTCAAATGTAGAAAACTATTTGGCATGTAATATTGTAGAGCTAATATTGTACGTTCTTGTCCGTTCATTTTTACTTATCACTTGATATGAGTATCGATGGATAAGTAATTGAAGATTTTGGAAATACTAAATATCAAATTCTATGTATTTAATATTATGATAAGTTAGTTACAATCATGTCAATTATATTTTGGTAACGTGAGAGAATCGAAATGTCAAAACAAGGGCTTTTGGACTAGTTTTTTTTATTTCTTTTTAAGGATAGTTAGTATTTTTTTGAGTTTATTGGCTTTTGGATGTGCTACTTATAATTTTAAAAAAATGCAGTTTTGAATTGAGTAACCAATAATTTAGAGATTTGTTTATTGGTGACTTTATTTTTAGTGTAATTTCTTTTATGGAGTAACCACTTTATTTTAATAGGTAAATCTATAATGTTCACATGCATGGAGATTTTTTGACTCTCATCATGTTGTCGTTTTGTGAGTGTTACAAATTTAATTATTATTTTCTCAAAATTTCCACCGACAAGAGAATTTAATAGTTTGGGAAGTTTAGACATTTAACATGGGCTTCTTTTTTATGGATCCATTTTAGTTGACATTTAGTGCATTGAGTTGATTCTTTTTCTTCAAAATCCATGTAAACCTGAAATCAAGATTTAAGACATCGATTAATTTGGATTCGAATCGCTTAAGGTCAGTGACGGATTTAGAATTTTAAAGTTATGAGTTAGCTTAATAGTGGCGGAGAAAATAATCACAAAAGGAGTTCAAAAAATATATTTAAAAAAATGTTGAGATTGAGATTCAAACTCAGGCTCAACAACACTAAAACAACCTTAAGCTCCCACCATGAGCCGTACGGCTAATCAACCCACTTTTTTCTATTGGGTGCTCTATGTTAATTTTTTATACCAAAATTAATGGGTGCTCGAGCACCCAGCGAACTCTATGTGAATCCTCCCCTGCTTAAGTCATAAGTGCTCTGTAATAGAATGTCTTTTTATATTCAGAGTTTGAACCTAAAAAAAATTATTAAGAATTTAAATATCATATTCATTCCATTACCATCCTTATTGGTCTCTTATTTGTTACCTTTTTGTGCTTATAGTATTATATTAAAAAAAACCTTTAGAAAAATGAATTGGTAGAGTGCAATTTTGGAAGAGCAAAGGAGGAATTATTCATGATTTTCCTATTATAATATTCAATAAGTTGTAGCTGGATATGATTTCAGTATCTAAAAAATTTACGCCTCACTAAACATAAGTTCAATTACTAAAGGGTAAAAATATTTTTTAAAAAAAATTAGTTCATTTGAAAGACAAAAAACCAGTGACTTTAAAGGAAAAAAGACGTGCAATTTTAGGTTAAAATTTTCCTCTTTAATTTTATGTACAATAAGAATTAAGAAAGTTGTGTTCAATAATTTGGCGAGATTACTCCACCTTAATTAGAGGTCTCGGGGATTCGACCCTTGAGTATAAAGTAAGTTTTATTAGGAGTGCTACCCTCAGAATAGGTTGTGCAATGCACGATATGAAAGTTTATTCTGTTGATAGTCCTACCCTCAGAATAGGCAGTGCAATGCACGATATGAAAATTTATCTTGTTGGGAATCCTACCATCGGAAATTCGGTATAGACCTGCAATGCATGATATGAATTAGTTGGAGCTTCAATGTGGAGATCAAATGTCACGCCCCAAATTCGAGGGGCGCAACTGGCTCCTAATGCCAAAACTCAGGCCCGAGCCGACCCTGCTGAACCATTTGCTACTAGCGCATGGCAGCCACACGCAATCGAGAAAACAAACAAGTATATCTCGGTTTAAAACTAAGCCATCGGCCGGCAAGGCCCCTGTCAACTGATCTATAAAAGAAACGGCTACTCCAAAGAGATCATATAAATAAATAGCCAACTAGCACAGAAGTCCTAATTGGGCCTTCGAGACCACCATGATATATATACCAAAACAAAAAGCAAGTATATATCAATACAATATATCAAACAGCTCATAAGCTTCAACAAACCAACAACATAGGCCAGTATGGCCACAATGTAGCTATACACCCCACACACTAGTCTGCAAGCCTCTAAGAGTAGTAAAGATTAGTGGGACAGGGCCCCAGCCTACCCATAAAGATGTATACAACAAAAGGTAACAAACTTCCCAACTCTGGCAGCTCCGGAGGAAAAGGCTAACCAACCGGATAAAAGTCAATCATGCTGCTGAGGAAGTCTACTCGGTCGTCCGTCAGGACCTGCATGCATGAATGCAGCGCCTCCAAGTCAATGGGGCGTCAGTACAAAATAATATGAAAGACAATAGACTATGATGAGGTATCCTGATATATTGAAATAATTTGATAAATAAATGGATAAGATAAGTGTACTGACCTGCTCCTAAGTCTAAACTTATCAAAAATAATAAAACAACAACCTAACCAAGCCCCATAAGCTCGGTAGGTACAAATAACACACAAAACCACCTACTCAGGCCCCCATAAGCCCGGAAGGGGCCACTCAGCCTATATACCCCTATCGGTAGTCCCCTAGCCCCATAGGCAGTCACATAGCCCTCTTAGGCATTAATATAGCCCCGTAGGCAAAACATAACTCTCTTAGGCATTGACTTAGCTTATAGACAACTCATAGTCCTATTAGGCAACAACATGGCCCTGTAGGAAGCACATAGCCTTCTTAGGCATCAATATAGCCCTGTAGGCAACTCATAGCCTTTTTAGGCATCAATATAACCCCGTAGGTAACTCATAGCCCTTTTAGGCATCCATATAGCCTTGTAGGCAGAACATAGCCCTTCTAGGCATAAATCACATTCCTGCAACTAACCACAATAGCCCCAAAGGCAACAATAACAATCCAATCGCTAAAAGCAAGCAATTTAGTTATAAGCAACCTATACAAATAGCCTCTAAGTTGTGTCCAACATAGGGACGCTACTAACTGAATAAGAATCCCGACAAGGGATGATTATATCAACTCGAGCAGCCAACAATCAACAATCACGGCTACAAGTATATCAAGGATAACAACCCAAATACATTGCTTCTAAGCTTTAAGGAGCATGCCGTAAGTAGGGAATAGTCTTAACATACCTTTTTTGCTGAATTCACGTGTCCTAATAACTTTAATCACAACCCCCTTGATACTACAACAAGACAGGATCATAATCAACACAAAAGAATAGAGGATACAACGAAATTCCGATAAAAGATATGTATTTCCGTCGCAAATTGTTATTTGCGACTTATCAAAGCTAGAGTCGGTGAAAGAAGGGTCTTACCTTGATTATAAATTTGTAATACACTTCAAAACTTTAAAATATGCCCAAACCCCTGCTATCCACACACCAAAGTACAATATGCTAGAAAATCGATAAAACAAATTATACCATGTTGACGAGCTCAATGCGTAGAACAACTTTTGTCAAGGACTTAAGTCACGAAAATTAGTAACTTTGCTTGTCCTAGAAGTGGGTTTTGTAGGTTTTGTGAGTTTTCTAGTTCTTCACCAAGGAAAATGAAGGAAAAATAAAGAAAAGTCGAAGAAGATATATATAAAGTTTCACCGACCTAGAGGACCCACCTCACCTGCCGACTTGCGCAGTCTTGCAAAAACGTGAATATCTCTCCATTCTGAAGTCGTATGAACGAACGGGTTGATGCGTTGGAAACTAGACTCGTAGACCTTCGATTTCATAGGTCGCGGGGGACCATAACTTTTAAAAGATTGGGAGAAAACGTCCGAGACATTTGACCCAAATTTCAGATAAATCTTTAAAAAGGAATTTATGGTAACTTTCGCTAACTTTTATTTTGCCACTTACCTAACTTCAAAACTTGAGATACAACACTTGAACACTTAAAAATATCACATAACACATCATTCTTAATTTATTACCCACCCTCTTGGTCTTTCCACGAAGATACGAATCAATTTATACGTTTCAAAAAGTCGGGATGTTACATCAAATACCGACCGGAAACGAAAAAAATATACATTGGGCTCATTGTAAGCTTCGCAAACGTAATTGGCCCAATAGAATCCTCTTTTCTATAAAGTTGTAACTGGCCCAATAGAATCCTCTTTTCTATAAAGTTGTAATTGGCCCAATAGAATCCCATATAAAATCAGAGTAAATAAACCAATAATACTTCCCGCTAAGTTTGAACTCTGTTTCTTCTTCGCTTCATCATCTTCATTTTCTGCTAAAGAAGAAACGAAAACAGAGCCGATTCTTCTCTTTTCAAAGATGTTCAAAGCCATAGGTAACTACTTTTTTCTCTTCCATTAACACATAGTACACATTCAATCTCAAGAAACTAACAAGTGTTCGTTTTTTTTCTCATTTCAATTCAGCTCATTTTGGGTTCAAGAAATCTTCGAAGCCATTCAAAGATTACTACGATGGATGGTTCAAGACTCTCAAGAACGTTCTCCTCCCTCAGCTCCGTCACGCCATGTCATCATCCGCCACCTCCGGCCCAATTCTCCTAGCTTCGCACGTCGAGGTAATGCACCGTCACTTCCTTAAATACTACGAAGCCCTAGATCTTGCCGCCGCAAACGACGTCTCTCAGGTACTTTACCCAGATTGGCGAAACCCCTTTGAAAAACCCTTCCTCTGGGTCGGCGATCTTCACCCATACCTCTTCACAAATCTCCTCCGTTCATTTATCGGCGACTCGGAATCCGAAATTGACTCAGATATATTCGACAAACTGCAAAATTGGCATGTGGTAATGGCGTGGAAGAGCCCGTCGAGGAAATTAACTACTGGGGTCGATCAAATCGAGTGTGGATTGAGGCTAATGGTGCCTGCACTGGCGGCGCGTGCACGCGACGCGCAGGCGAAGTTCGTCGAAAAAATGGCGGTGGAATGGGGGAAATGTGAAGGGAGGAACCAGGAGATGAAAGGGGTTGTGGGAGAATCAGCGGCGGCGGAGATGGAAGAACTGGTCGGAGTATTTGTGGATGCGAACAGGCTACGGAGGAGTGTACTTTCCGATATACTGAACGTGACGGATGTTAATCAGGCGGCGGTTTTTCTCGAAGCTTTAGCTCAATTCCTTGTTGGGTTTCGAAATCGTGAATTGCTCAGTCAATTTGACAAGTGTTCTATGGAATTATAGTTGCAGAAGAAGAATCAGTGCACAGATTCTAATTTTGTGCACAGATTTCTAAATTAAGCCACTAATCTTTGACTAATCTCTACACAAATTAGTCACTAATTTGTGGTTCTTGAAAGGATTAAGACTGCAGTATTAACTAGCTAATGTTTCATTTCTGTATCTCTCTGTTTTTTCCCGCCAAATTTTTGTTCAGTTTGTAATGCAATTGTGTATGGAGATGAAATTTGTAGATTTTGAAATAATACAATGGAGTTTGTTTTGTTAGCCCTTTTAACATTAATAAGGTAGTTTTTAGCATTATCAATTTGAAAGCACTCTTCACAACTTCTTATGGTGTGCTTGTGTCAAATGGGTCAGGTCAAATTCAAATATATTTTTTCTTCAATAAAAGGAAAAAAATATTGATTCAGTTGACCCTCATGACAGAGGGCGGGTCAGAAGGGTGAGTTGAAGAGAATGAATGAGAGGTTTCTATGTTAGTAAACTTTGTAAGAAGGGTAAATTGTAGATTCGAATGATAGAGGATAATGAGAACTTTTAGGTTTGATGAAGGTGTAGCTCAAAGAATAAATCTGTAAATTGGTTAAGCACTAAGAGAACAATATATGTCATGGGCTTGGACTATAACACTCGGGTACGAACCAATCTCTCCTCTCTCAATATAGCATTTTTAACACCTTATTCATTAAAATGTCCATGGACACAACCAATTTGTGGGGTTGTTGATTAGGCCTTTTAGTAACTAGTTGTCCTAAACTAGTTATAAACTTTTAAGGGATAAATTGTAATTTTGTCTTAAAAGTATGTGATTTCTGTAATTTGTCCATTCCTCAATGTGTCCAAGGTCCATCACATGGTGTATACCCTTCAACTGTTAAGCCCAATCCATGGCCCATTGGGCTAATAATTAAATCCATAATTTACTATGAAAAGATTGTCCTCTCCTCAAGGTATTGTTACCCTGGGCCTAGAATCTCAGAAGCCCACATTGAAAGTGTAAATCGAAAATAGTATTTCTAACTTTACAAGATATCGGTAAAGTCGCACATACACCACCTTCTTTAGACTCTATCAGATATGTTGTTATTGTTATCGTAGCGTACTACAAAGTATGTATATTAAATGTACAACTTGTTGTAAACAAATATAGAAAGAAAAGAACAGAAGGGCACATGGGCAAATGGTGTGTATTTATTATGAATAGAAACTTTGCCTTATGTCAGTAAATATCTCTTGCAGCTATATTTCCATATTAGTCCACTACGCCAATATAATGCAAAAAGGACAGTATAACATATTTTTAGCATTAATTATGTAATTCAACAAATGGTTTATTATTAATTAATCAAACTTGTTATCCAAATGTTTAAATTTGCTTAATTTAGCAACAAATGGAATCTTTTTCACATTCAGGTGTTCCCTAATTCTTAAAGCTGCTTTATTTGTACATCTCTTTTATATTCCATGAAATTTTCCGAGTAAAAAAGGATCAACAAGCTGGTACTATATATTTTCTCATTTTGATATGCGTTTATTTGAGTTGAGAATCTATTGAAATTGATATTTTCAGTTCGTATATAATCTTAATTAATGAACAAATCATAGTTTATAAATAAGATATCAAAATATTTTAAGGCGCAACAGTAATTAATCACATGTCTCCTTGTGCCTTTTATAGATAAATATTTATGATTTCTAATTTTTTAAAGATTCACTAGTCAATAGTAGTAGTAACTAGTTATTATATAATATAATATTTCCACGTGGCACAAACAATTTTATCAAGCAAGCATGAATATTCCTTTTAGCAAAATTTAAAGTAGGATATATTTTTTTTTACCACATATAAACTTATGGATCAAATTTTACACCTAAAATATTTTGAAATCACAATTTGGAATCGGAAATCCTATTTTTTTGGAAAATTTGAAATCATAATCTCAAATCACACATATTGAAACGTTTATTTAAAATCATAATTTCAAATCGCATGCACAAATACCTACTAAGTTTAATTAACTACAACATGTATGGTTCACCATTTTTTTTTTTAAAGTTTGATAAATGTACCTGAAAAACGTTACGTGTAATAACAATTTTTTAAATTCTTTTTGTACCAAACAAAATCAGGCACAAATTAACGTGAACAGTTTGCAGCATAGTCAGGTCAACTTGGAATAGACAAAAACTTTAATTAGGAAATTAAATTATATGCATATGCACGTGTTTTTTGTTGTTGTTATTTTTAGCAGAAAGATCAGAATTAATGCTGCACAAAATTATATTTAGCCATCATTGTTCATATTTGGTAAGTAGTTACCTTACCAAAAATGGCCCTTTGTGACTTTGAAAACGTTTAAAATACTCGAAGGGTCATATTAGAGCTAGGCTGCTAGGGGTACGAAGCAACTAGTGAATTATCAAGACATTTTTTTCTGCTCCAATTCGATACTATACATGTGAAATTTTATCTATACTTTGCTATTAATATTATACACTTATCTATAAAAATCTAAATAATTGTACTTTAGAGATGATCGTGAACATGATTTTTTGATAGAGGAAGGAGTTTAAGACTTAGGGGTGCAAAATGTAATGGACTCGAATTATGATATATCACAAAAAAGATTGAAATAAATGCAAATGAGTAAATTAATAATTTAATAACTCTAGGTAGTGGTGAAATCAAAAATTTTATTAAGGAGTGTCAAATTAGACAACATAATCAGTTGTCTAAAAATGAAAAAAATAGAATGTTGAAGTAAAAAAATGAGTTGGGATGAAACACTAGACCGTTGAGAGTTTTTGCAACCCCTCAACTCATGTTGTGTTAACTCTTTACCGTATGTCAAGAGGCGTCAAGTATACAATCAAAATATTTGACCTATCTATTGCAACATAATTTTTCGACGATTTACCGCGTTATAGTAAAACTTAATTACCCATTTTGTTAAGAATTTTCATTAATTGAAGGAAGCTTAAACAAACAAAATTGAGAGAGAAATTCATTGATGTCTAATTAATTATTTGTGCGTGGTTGTTCTGTTTGTTAGGGAACAAGAACATGTTGCACGAGAGGCTTAAACTAATTTATAATAATTGTTAATGTCCGTGATACTCGCATGAGCAATTAACCAATTACTGAATCAACATGAATTTTGATAAGATGATTGAGATTGATATTCGGATTTGAGATACCACCGATAGAAAATTTATGTTGAGAGCGTTGTAGGATTCACCTCTAGAAATAAACGCTCCAATATATACAAATTTTAATTTAGTTAAACTCTAATACTAATATCAGATATCAAATAAAAAGAAAAGAAAATGACAAGTTGTAGAGTGGCGGACAAAAGAGAAACTAGAATCTATTAGTAGTTAAAAAGGTCACAACTAATTAAAAACCATGATCAACCACTTGTACTGTCTATATCAAATGTTTTTAAATTTATTTATTAATCATTTTATTTTTTTAGTCTTAATATTGAAGGATCAATTATGAGGCAAGTTAGTTAAAAAATACTTTTAACATAATAGGATATTATCGATTTTGCTAGAACAGATCCACACACTATAAAAAATGAGTAATTAATTAACAGTAATAACTTAATTATTTTTAATTATATTTTCATAGAGGCAATTAACATTTTTTGTAAATGTCCATAAAATCTTAATAATATTAAATCCGATGACATTTAATTGATATTGATAAATTTTAGCACTCTGTTAATGAACATATTTATTACCATAAAAATATATCACACTATTACCAATCTTCGATACTCAAATTAAAAAATTTCATCACAAATATATGTGATAGTGATATGATAAGTTTTGTAAGTGTTAGTTAAAGCAGTAAAGTGACTTTAAATTAAGAAGTGAGATTATTGAGAAGGATTAAAATAGTAACACTTTTATTCTCAAAAAATTAAATAAATGTGGCAACCAAACACCAAGAAATGACTTAGTTTCTAAAATGTTTTGTGAAAATATTTTTTTATCAGTTAAAACGTAAGGAGTTATTTGGTAGGATGTATTAGCTATAATATTATTTGATATTTTGTTAGGGTAGAATTTTGAGTTTATATATAATTAATACATATATTAGTTATATATCATATTCAAAATTATAAATGTATAATTAATATAAAATAAACCATGATATTACCATACTAGCAATGCATGGACAATTAATACATGAATAAATATGAGTAAATAATAGTCTCAACATAACTAACTCCAACATTATATTACTAATACATTTTCTTCAATACTATTTTTATACACTCTAGCAAACGACTCTAAATGCGTTAATTAAAGTTGTCCTTTTTATATTATAAAATACTCGATGAAGTGTAGTAGTGAGCAAGACATTTACCCGATTCAATGGAACAATGGAGAGTCAAGAAAACAAAACCTAAAAGAAGGAAAATTTCAAGTCCATTTAATCATCTTTATGTCAACTTTTTCCTTCATAAATAATTGATGAACTTAAAAACAACAGTACAATTATTCCCCTTGAAATGTTGAAAATCAAACCAACTTAATAAACAATATATGTGTAGTCTGTAGACTACTAATAAAAGGAGGATAAAGTCCATCTAATTAACCAAAATATTTACTACGCACCGATTAATTGACCTATTCTATTAGGAGTCGTTTGGTATGAGGTATAAGTTATAATAGTCTCCGGAATAAAATGTTGGATTATTTTATCCTATATTTGATTGGAGGTATTAGGTATATATTACTTACACTACAACAAAAATAATTTATAGCGGCAATTAATATACACATTAATAAAAAGGGCTAAAGTCTTTACCAGCATTAGTTAAGTGTCATTATATCCAATGTCGCTAAAACTTTTAGAGACATATACGAAGAGTGTTATGTTTTAGCGGCAATTAAGCTATTGCCGTTAATTATTAATTGCCACTAAATATCATTTTTGATTTAGTGTTATTAGGCTGTCCTAGATTATTTATCCCATTATTTATACCTTAAGGGTCGTTTGGCGTGAGGGATGAGAATAAAAAAAAATTGAGATAAAATTTTGGTGTCGCGTTTGGTTGCCATATTTGGGATAATTTATCCCGTCATTTATAACATAGTGATGGGATAAGTTATCTCATATACATGCTATCCCATGATAACCAATCTCATGATAATTA